AGCGGCGAACAGGAAAACTCGGTCGTGCGCGTCGGCCCCGAGCTTTTGCCGGCGGGCAAAAGCTTTGAAAGGCGCGCGGATCGGCCCGCCATACGGCGGCGGCACACTGATCACCGAGTGGGCGACGCGCGCAGTTTACTCGCTTCGGCGGCGATTGCGGCGCCGACCGGATTCGCGAAAGGCACGGAACGACAGCCGGTAGCCTGTTGGCAGCCGACTGCACGCGCCGCGAGCGACGCAACGTTCGTGCCGTGCAACTTGGCGCGCCTGCGGTTGCGCAGCGCGTCCTCTGCTCGCGAACTCTCCGCGCTCGGCGCGGCTTTTTCGCACGAGTCTGACTGTTCAAGTCGATCGGAGGCGAGCGCTGACTCGTGTTCAGGGAAGCTGCCAGGCGTGTTGCCGAGCGGCTTACGTCGCGAAGTATCGCGCAACGAGCTGGCGACACAGCGGGTCTTAAGCGACGCCGAGCGGAGGCTTGGCGGGGGCTTGCACCGCGGCGTCCCGAGTCGCGCGTCGCTGCAGGAGCGCGAGGCGAGCTCTTCGCTGTCCCCGCTGCGGCACAGCACCTCGCAGCCAGGCGCGCGCTCCGCGCGCGGCGCGCACGCCGGACAGCTGTTCGCCACGCTGGGCCGCACAAAGACGGCTTCCTGTCCATATCGCGGCGGCGCAGCGTGTGCACCCGCCTGCGCGCCAGCTTGCGCGTCTGAGTGTCGCGTGCTCGGCGGGCTGCGGCAAGGCCTGGCCGACGCGGCGATCCTGCCGAAGTTCACGGACGAGCATTTGGAAAGTGAGCCGGAGAACGGCTCGGCGGGGCGGCTGCTCGACGAAAGCGCATTTTTCCGCTTTTCAAAAAAGTATTTGCGCAACCGCGAGCAGCTGCTCTACAAGAACTTCGACGGCGCCGCGCCGTACGCCGCGGACAGCTGCAACGCGGTCCGCAACTTTTCGTAGCATTTGTGTAAAGAAACGCATTTCCGCGCCCGCTGCACCGCTCCGCTCGGCGCGGCGCGGCCGCGCACGGCTGTCCAGCGGCTATTTGTCGAGCGCGTGCACGATCGTCAAAAACTCTGACTTCAGCGAGGCGCCGCCCACCAAGAACCCGTCGAGGTCGGGCGCGCCTGCGAGCTCCTTGCAGTTTGCGGCGGTCACGCTGCCGCCGTACACGATGCGCACCTTATCGGCGGCCGCGACGCCGGCGTGCTGTCGCACGTAGTCGCGCACGAACTTGAGCATCTCAGCGACGTCGCTGAGCGCCGCGCGCTTGCCGGTGCCGATGGCCCACACAGGCTCGTACGCGAGCACTGTCGAGTCCCAGCACTTGATGGCCGGCAGCACCGGGCGCAGCTGCGCCTCGCAGACGTCGCGCGAAGCGCCAGCCTCGCGTTGCGCGAGTGTTTCGCCGAAGCAGACGGCAACGCGCAGGCCGGCCGCGGCCGCTTGTTCGTATTTCTGCACAACTTGTTCGTCGGTTTCGCCGAACAGACTGCGGCGCTCCGAGTGCCCGACCAGCGCCCAGCGCGCGCCGAGCGCCTCCGCCATCTCAGCCGCAACTTCGCCGGTGAACGCGCCCTTGCCGTGCGCGCAAACGTTTTGCACGCCAACCGCGGCGCGCGCGCCGAACGCGGCGCGCGCTTTCTCTAAGTGCAGCGCGGTCGGAAAAAAGCAGACCTCGGCGGCGCGCGGGGCGCCGTCCGCTGCGAACTGTGCGGCAAGGCTCTCGATCAGCGCCGCGTCGCCGTTGCATTTCCAGTTGCCACCGACCCAGGGAATTCTGTTCGCCATATTCAAAAATATTGGCGCGCTTTAAAATGCGCAATTTCTCTCAAACGAACGTCGGCATGCAAATCGCATGACGGCAGCGGGCTCGCTGGAAGACTCGGTCGGCATTCCGATCGAGTGCACGCCGTACAGAGAGATGAAGTCGGACATTTTGTCGAAAATTCGCGAGCACTGCCACTGCAGCCTCGACTCGTTCCCGGGCGCGCACCCCGTGACGCTGAATCTGCAGAACGCGCGGCAGCTCGGCGCAGCGCGCTACGTGGTGGCAGAGAAGTCGGACGGCGTGCGCATGCTGGTGTACTTCACCAGCGAGCTGATGTTTCTGGTGGACCGCCGCGAATTCATCTTTGTGCTGGACTGCGTCGCGCCCCTGGCGGGTCTGCCGCGGGACTCGAAAGGCGCGTACCTCACGCAGAACGGCACTGTGCTCGACTGCGAGTTGGTGCTCGAGCGCTACGAGGATGGCTCGAGCGAGAAGTGCTTGCTGGTGTTCGATGCGATTGCGGTAAACGGTGAGAACATCACGAACTGCGGGTTGCTCGAACGGCTAAAGTACGCAAAGCACAGCGTCGTGACGCCGTACCGCGACTTGCGCCGGCGCGACGCCGCGCTCGTCGCGGCGGAAAAAAAGCGCCACGCGTACATTCCGCTGTACGTGAAAGACGTGTTCGAAATCTGGCACCTAGAGGCGCTGCACTCGATGTGCGGCCGAATGTACCACAACTCGGACGGCTTTGTGTTCACGCCGGTGGACACGACGTACAAGGGCCACTACAAACTGAAGATTTTGAAGTGGAAGCCACCGCACCTGAACACCATCGACTTCTTCGCGACGCCCGTTTGCGCGTGGGCCAGCGACGCGCGCGACTTTTGCCAGCCGGCGCACGTGCTGCTGATGATCAACAAGAACGGAGCGCGCGTGCCAACCGAGCACTGGATCCGGCCGGGGCTCGGCAACTGGTCCGCGCTGCTGAGCCACCCGCTCTTCGCGAGCGGCAAGCTAATCGTCGAGAGCTTTTTGAACGTGAGCGAGAAGTCGCTCAGCTTTCCAGTGGTTCCGCGCGACGAAGCGATGCGTTTGCTCGCCGAGCTGCGCGGCGAGACCGAACCGCAGAACGATGGCAGCGAGCTGGACGCAGAGCCAGACGCGCCGCGGGACGCAGCAGCGCGCGCCGCGGCGAGCGCGCAGTCCGCAGCGCAAGCGACGACGCAAAAAGTGCAGCTCGGGTTTTGCCAGCAGACTTCGACGTACTACAACTTGGCGCAGCCGGTCGAGAGGGAAGGCGGTGGCTGGGTCGTCGAGCGCGTGCGCAGCGACAAACTCACGCCCAACGAGTTCTTCGTCATGCAGCGGATCATTCAATCGCTGCGCGAAAACATTACCTACGAAAACCTGCTGGCGCGGATTCGCGCAATCACGCCCGGTGCGCAAAACAGCCCCGCGATGCGCGCGATTCTTCCGGACTATTACCCACTCTAATTACTTCCATTTTTTTCTGTTAGCTAGCACCGCGCTGCGTCCAGGACCATGAAGCGGCGAGAGCGCAGCGAGAGCACAGAATTGCGCGCGCCACACGAAGAGACTGCAACTGCGTTCCGCACTAAGCGCGACGGCCGCACGGCTGTCGGCTCCGTTGTCGGCTCCGTTGTCGGCTCCGACAACGGCTCCGACAACGACTCCGACATCGGCTCCGACAACAGCTCCGACAACGGCTTCGAGAGCGACGGCAGCGGCGCGCCGTGCGAAGTGTTTACGAGCGCGCAGCTCGCGCAGGTCGGCCCCGAAGAAAAGCTCTACATGGCGTCGGAAGCGTACGAGACGTTCTACAAGTTTGAGTACGACTGGCCGGTGCTGTGCTTTGACAACCTGCGTGGCGAGCTGCCCGCGGCCGCCGCGGCGCAGCAGTTCAATCTGGCTTTGGTCTGCGGCACGCAGGCCGACGGCGCGCTGAAGCACAGCGAGAGCAAACTGTACTTCTCGTACTTCGAAAACGTCGAGCCGCGCGTCGTCACAGACGCGCTCGAAGATGAGCAGGAGTACGACAATGAAGACTTTCCGAACTCGTATCATTCGCACGTCGGTGTGCCCGCGCCCGTGCTGCGCGTGGCGAGTTGCGAGCAATTCGGCCGCCTCGTGCTCGCCGCACTGAACGACGGCTCGCTGCGCGTCTTCGACTCTCAGGAGACTTTCGAGAACCTCGTGCAGGGCGTCGAGTCGCGCGCGGGTCACGCGGCGCAGCGCTTGCAGTTGTTTCAACACGACCTCGGTTGCGAGAGCTACGCCATCGCCTGGGCGCCGCAGAGCGCGGCGTTCGCGGCTGGCACCAACGCAGGCGAGATCCAGCTCTTTTCACCGGTAGACGGGGGCTGGACGTGCAGCGCGACGTTCGCGCACGCGGCGCGCAAAGCCATCGAGTCCGTCAGTTTCCAGACCGGCGGCCAACCCGTGCTCGCGTCCGGCTCTGCGGATGGCACGGCCCGCGTCTGGGACCTGCGCGCCGCAAACGAGTTTTTAGCGCTCGACGCGCTGGCCGCCGGCGACGTGAACGTCGTCGAGTTCTGCCCCGTCGGGCAGTCGACACACCTGCTGCTCGGCTTCGAGGACGGCTCGATCGCGGTGAAGGACATCCGCATGCCTGAGCTCAATCTCGCGCGCTTCAAGCACCACCGCGCGCCCGTCTGCTCGGCAAACTGGTGTCCGCAGGACCCCAGCGTCATTCTCTCCGCCGGGTTCGACAACGTGACTGTCATTTGGGACCTCGCTGTCGAATTCGACGGCTCCCAGTCGCAACTCGGCGACTTGCCGGCGCAAGCGTTGTTCGAGGACCTGTCGCACAGCTACATCGCTGCGGCAATGTTTGACCGCACAAACAAGTATTTAGTCATTAGTTCCGGCGCGGAATCGCTGAATTTTTGGAAAGCAAAAAACGTCTAAGCGTCGGGCGCGCCGCCCGCGACGGTAGCGGCGTCAAACCCGCTCTCAGCGCGCACGTTCGCGGAGCTGCTTGCTGTGCGGTGCATAGCGTTCTGTGCTGCTTGCACTGAGCGCTGCGCGGCGCACGGTTCGCGGCCGGGGGACGCTGGCGGCGACGCTTCGTTCGCAGAGTTCGCTCCGCTCGGCTGTGCGTGTTGGCGCGGCGACGCTTCGTCCGCAGAGTTCGCTCCGCTCGGCTGTGCGTGTTGGCGCGGCGACGCTTCGTTCGCAGAGTTCGCTCCGCTCGGCTGTGCGTGATGAAGGGACGGCGCTTCGTCCGCAGAGTTCGCTCCGCTCGGCTGTGCGTGTTGGCGCGGCGGCGCTTCGTCCGCGAAGCTCTCGCCGCTCTGCTGCGCGTGTCGGCGCGGCGGCGATTCGTTCGCAGAGTTCGCTCCGCTGGGCTGTGCGTGTCGGCGCGGCGACGCTTCGTCCGCGGAGCTCCCGCCGCTCGGCTGCGCTTCGGCGTCGGATGCGCCGCTGGCGTCTTCAGCGAGCAGCACCAAGCTGCGCGGAATTGCGACTTCTAAGCCGCAGGCAATGAAAAAGTTGTAGCAAAACGTGTTGTTTTCCGCCGAGTCCGTGAGGAACAGCGACTGCTCAACCGTCGCGACGTGCGCCGGGTCGGCGAGGTATTGCGCGAGGCCTTCCGCGCCGAGCAAGTCTCGCATCTTCAGCAACAAGTACTTCACGAAGATACGGCCCGAAATCGACGTAGCCTCTTCGCTCAGCCTAACAGCGGAGAAACAGGAAGGTGAGAGCGTTTTCGCGCTGAGCATGAACGCGAAGAAGTCTGCCAGGTTCTGGATGCAGCGGCGCTCCATGCAGTCGACCTGAGCGTAGTTGCGCTGAAACTTCGCCAGCCACAAGTCCGCGTACGCGCTGTCCACGCGGACCAACTGCACCGCGAGCGACGCGAAGTACTTGTCGAAACAGTTCGCGCGCGCGCAGCTCTCGGTCACGATGTCTACGAGCACGGGCTTGTACTGCTGCGGCAGCGGCTTTGCGAGCAGTTTGTGCAACGTCTCTTCGCTGCTCAGCGAAGAGTTCAGCGTTAAATACAGCACTTTGCGCGCTTCGACGAGGCTTTGCCGCTGCGCCAGCGCGTCCGAGACGTCAGTATCGGCGCCGGCGCCTGCATTTGCTGACTCTGGCGCAAGCTCGACGAATGACCGCAGCTGGGCCGCGTGCCATGCGGCGTCCGCCGCGGCGCACGGCACAGCCTCCTCGCAGTCGGCCGGCGTTAAGCGCGCCGCGGCGTCGAGCGCTGCCGCGTACGGGCTGGCAAATTCGAGGTCTCGCGAGACCAGCGCAGCGACGCGGAACCGCGGCGACGCGGAGTTCCTGCGCACGTTGCGCAAGAAACTTTGCACCGCAACCTTGTCTGCCGCTCTGAGCGCGGGCAGCTGCAACACGTAGCGCAGCGTTCTACAGAAGTCGGCGAACTGCGTGCCGGCGTGCGCCTGCAGCGCCTGCCAGCAGAGGTCGACGCTCCGCAACACCGGCGAGAGGCTGCGCAGCTCGCCGGCGGCGAGCGCGAGCTGGAACAGCTGCGCCGCGCGCTGCGCGCAGACCACGCGCAGATTCGTGAAGAGCGCTAGCAGTTCAAGCGTGGAGCAACAGCCTGGCGCAGCACGCGCTGGCCGCTCGCGCACCGAGTCGGCGCGCGTGAGCACAAGCCTGGCGGCGGCCTCGCCGATTTGCGGCACGCGCCCGGTGAGCAATGAGATCAGCTGCGCGTAGAACGCCGCAGACTCGAACTCGCGCGCGCAGCGACCGACGAGCGCGGCTGCCAGCGGCTTGTGCAGCCAGAAGAGGTCGTGTTCGAGCAGCAGACACGCGCTCGCCTCGAGCGCACGCTCTAGCGGCAGCGCGTCGCGCAGGTCCTCCAGAGCTGCGACGTCTTCACGCAGGCGCGCGAGCGCTTCGCGTTGCGACGCGTCCATCGCGGCCGCCGCTCAAGCGGATCTCGGCGGCAGTCCAGCGCTGCACATTATTAATTTTTTCAGATATAAACGCAACCCTAGCCGGG